CTTGCAGCTATTTTAATGTTACAAACAGGTATCTCTGAGGATAAATGATGAAAACATACAAACAGATGATTGCAAACAGGCCCGAACACAGACTCCAAACTACAAGTAAATATATTTTGTGCTTAGTATTAAAAAGTGATTTTCACCTGTAGTGTGTTTGAACTGGTGTCAGTTAATTGTTTTGTGTGGTAATGGTATGTTTACCTCACACCAATTATCAAATTAAATAAATCGTTAATCAGACAAACCATCATCCTCGCAAGAAGCTGTGCGAGGAGAATAATATGCAATACAATTCTGTTGTAAAGACAGTATGGAAGTCACAATATTAATATTTTATTGTAGGAGCATTGAAAAAAACATTTCATGATGGTTATTTTAGCCACTAATCAATCAATTGTTGCCCTTGCATGGCCATTATCCTACTTTTGTGTATTTGAACAAAGCAAATCTTTTTTTTATTCCAACCATTCTCTGCCTATAATAACACTGTGCCCTTTGAGAAGTAGTTTAAATGTCATAATCTTTGCATAAACATTGTCATTTCAATTAGCCATGCTAGCAGCTCAACTACAATTGTACTGATTGCCTTGAAATATGGTGCAGACATTCATGCTGCACTCAGGATAAACTAGGGCTACAATCAGGTTAATTATTTTTATTTGTATAGCACTTTGCTTTATTAACAAATAGACTTGAAAACTAACGGCATTCCCATCAGCCTCGCCTGTACTTTGTATTTAGTGCTAATTGGCAAATGTTAGCATGCTAACACCCTAAACTAAAGTGGTAGACATGGTAAACATTGGACCTGTTCAACATGCAAGCAGAGTTCAGCAACCAATAAGACTTTGTATTAAGTATTGTGTTGAGGTTAACTTTTGAACCTGATCCTGAAAGATCTGAATCTGTCCTTTAGGCAACTTGGGTGTGAAGTGTCCTTTTTCATCCCTTTTTTCAACCCATCCCTAATTTAAGGTAATAAAGAAAAAAGGTCTGCACTTCCAAATACGTATCCACTTCGTCCATAAAATGTCAAACGTGTACATTTCATGACGTAGCGTCTCTTCAGATGTCTCGTCTGATCAGGATCATGGTCCGTGGTCATAATCTTATGGAACCACGTCAGTTTGGCATTGGATATATGACTACTATCACTTAACATATTGGCGTATAGCTTTATGTTTTTGTCTTGGCTTCAATCTGTCATCAGATGACCAGTTAGATATTTTCTGCTGGTGATTTCATCTGTGAGGACATTAGAGACCCATTAGTCTGGCCAGGGGCTGAGAGAGGCAGGAAACTGAGGTGTTGGAAAGAGTTACAACCTGTAGACAGTGATGGAAAACCTTGTACTGAAGATGACAAAGTCTCTATAACACCCAGAATAATCTGTGTGGACAGGTAGAGGCCTAACCTGGCTCACACAGAGTCAGGTGATGTTTTGTCACTGTGTTAAAATAGAAAGTTTAGGTAATGTGTTTGTTTCTGTTGCACGCAACAAGGGTCGAATGTCACTTCAGTATCAACATCATGCTGCTAGTCCAAGCCAGTTTATGTTGTTTTTGGCCTCTTTGTGCCTGCATTTGTGCACGAATATTCTTTTTACTTCTCTGTATTAAACGGCTCCTCTTCTTTTTGTGGCCACAGTAGCAGCACGATTCTAGGGAGGACAACGTTATTGGTCATATATATATATATCTTATTAACGTCATTTGGGCTGTCTGAAATATCAAACTTTGGATCACATATTCATGATGCTCAGAGGAGGTTATGAAATATCTCAACAAATATTGGATGGATTGTCATGAAATGTGGTACACGCATTAATGTTTCACTTAATGAATTGTAATAATAATAAAATCCCTTAAAACCACCAACACCATCTTGCAAAATAAGTGACAATCTCATCGACTTAAGCTTGAGTGTTCTTGGCTTTTAGTAACATGTTATGCATGCTAATCACACTAAACTAAGGTGTCGATCATTGCAAGCATTAGACATTCCCTGCTAAACATCAGCACATAGACACCGTCATTGTGATCATGATAGCATAACCTGGCATTTAGAGGTGCAATATTTTGGTTTTATTAAACATGATGACAACTAAAGCTACAAATATGAAAAGCTGTAAATATTTGGAGAAATTGTAAAAGTAAATTCGTAAAATAAATTGAATTTAAAATATCAAAATGTTTCAAAATATCTTTTCTTCCTACATACAGCTCAAGTTAAATGTGAGCTCATTCATTTAAAATAAACACATTAATGTGCTTGACTTTCTTGTCATTATTTCAGCAGGGTCCCATTCCAGCATTATGAAAGTAAAGCAGGAAGATACATTGACATCATATTGACGTCATGATATGAAACTAGATATCGTCATGTGTTCTCGTCATCATCGTTCCTGCAGTACAGTTACGTGATTCAACTTTAGATCATTTTACTGCTCTGGGTGAAAAGAATTGGCGTCATATTCAGAAAACGTCCCGGCAACCATATCAGCCTCGCATAGTTCAGATCAAATATCTAATGAAGGCACCGATAATGAATGAATCACTTTATGACATCAAGTTATAATGATACTTCATTGTGTCCTTATTGACCAGCTCTCCTTGGAAGTGAGTGACTACTGCTTGCTAACAGCCATATCATTAACTAGTACATTAACAGATTCCCAAACAAATACACACACACACACACCAGGACACCCGTGTGAGATATTTACGTGACCGATGTACAGTATGCCGCGTGGCTTGCTGCCATTTTGGCGCCTTTGTCTCTATGCTAGGGTGAGCAGCTTTCGTAAGTTGACACTTACTTCTTCATATGACATGTCATGTGGAGGAGGTCTTTTTGCATGTTTGTGGATATCATTGCCGCTCTGTTAACGCCAGTCTGGCAGGGGACAGTAACACGAGGCCACGAGGAGCTGATGCAGTGTGTGTAAATTAAACAGGTCCTCAGATCACTGTCTCTGTACCTTGTGTTTTCTTTCCTTGTGATGTTTTACCTAATTAAAGGGAAAGTTGTGCTTTTGCAGTGTTTACCATGTGGGTATTGGTGTAAGTGAAGAGGCAGTGTACTTGTAGTTTTTGGTGTGGCTGCAGTCTCAGACAGCTGGTTGTAAAAAGGCTGACATCTAACCTTGCTACCGTGCAGCTAGGATCAGGGGGCTTTGGAGCCACACCACCCTATTTAGATGGATGGGTTAACAGCAGCTTTTGGCCCAGTAGTGTCCTGTAAGGGTCAGTGCCAAGACCACTTCAAATGTGCAAACCATAATCCCCCTCTGACATTAATATTTTCAGATGGAAGCAAGCAGGGAGCATGGTGGGGGGTGGCAATGTAAGCAAGGTCTTTTTGGCTGGCCTTGTTTCATGCTGGCAGTGGTGATAGACACTAAAGCCATTACTCATGGTGCAGGCATGTCCAGAATGTATTCTTAGCCCCTGTCTTCCTATCAGTCACTACAGAAAGGTTGGAGGGTCAAAAAATAAAGAGGTAACCAGTCTGCAGGGCTGTCTGCACCGCTGCTGTTTACCAGGGAGGGGGTGATATTTTAAACCTGGGAGAGCTCACATATTTACCCCACTCAGCCTGACTGACTTGCCATTTGGTGGGGTGAAGACACTGGAGACCACTCATAGAGGACAGAAGAGGCAAAGAGAGAAGCGCTTTAGTTACTACTTGATAAGCAAGTAGCTTGCAGCTTTTACAAATAGAAACCAGTCCAGAAAAGAAGAGGGAGATTATCAAAACAAAAGAAGACTGAATTAAAGAGAAGGTTTGAGGATAAAGGCGAGGACAGAGGGAAAGACACTTGGGGGAGGTGAGAGGTAGCCAGGCTGAGCTGACTTTTCCCCAGAGGAGGAGTTGCAGTTGCCGGCCAGGGCAGGTCCCAGGGCCGGCAGGGCTGGCCCTACTGCTTCTCCACCTCCTTTCCTTCCTCCTCTTACTCCTCCTTCTCCTCCCTTTAACCATCAACCAAACTGCTGTGCAGTGATGAACTTACAGGCAGAGGCCATGAGCAACATAGGAATGCTTAGAAAATCCTGCCAAATGAACTTCTTTGCCTCAAGTGAGGGGAAACTCCAGAGGTTGAGCCTTCCATAAGAGGACCTCCACAGCAGTCACCTATTGTCTTCTCATCCATTTTTGTTGCACTCACTGGTTGAGTGCACTGAAAGACTGAGGGGATTTTTTAATCCTTTTTTTCTCTCCATTTTTGTTTTTGTAAACCGGAACAGTGGCAACCTTTTCAGTAGCACGGTGCAAGGACCAGCTCCACTCACCGAAGATGAGCCGGTGGCTGAAATGCACCTCCATGCACTTTGTAGGTATTCCCTGTCAGTCATTTCAGTTTGTCAACAAAAGCTATTTTTGTGGTTACTGGTTCTTCTGGTCCTATGCTTTCATCTAAAGCTGTGCTTTAACAAAGTGGTAATGCAGTGAAGGAATTCTCCCTGAGGCAAATAGGGCAACTGGGACAGTTCTCATTGGTGGATAAATTAGGTGACTCATTTACTGCTTTATAACAACAGTATATTGTACATGTTATCAAAGTGATGTATTTCTTGTGTTTTATTCTCTGTTGTGGTTATAACTTGTGTTCTCTGTTCATCTTGACCTCAAGTATTAAGTAGCCCACTTAAGTATGCTTCCTTGTAGCCTTAAGAATACTGTTCCCATGTTTTGCAGCCATCACTCATGGGTGGGATTTAATGAAACTGTGGTACAGCACATTCTTGGCACATTGTCCATGAACTGAAGTCTATTATTGTACTTCAAAATGAAGAATTACATTGCCATCCTGTCTGTTGTTTTTGTGTCAAAAATGGACTTTGTGATTCATATGCATATGTTTCCAAAACTGGAATTATAGGTATTACTCTCTACTGTTGAACGAAGTATGTATTTAGTAAAAGAATGATTTAACTATTTGGTTTAATACTGTCAAACATACTGTGTGTCTGATAATTCCCTATCATCATTGTCAGAACACAGACTGGAACAAGTATGATGATCGGCTGATGAAAGCAGTGGAACGTGGCGAGGTGGACAAAGTGGCTGCTGTTCTCAGCAAGAAGGGCATCATACCCACCAAGCTTGACGTGGAAGGACGCTCTGCGTGAGTAAACACCGAGAAACACACACACATCTATACATGGACACACACATTCATGTCCAGTGTGTTGACATTTGTAGTCAAAGAGGTTTGAATTTCTGCAATATATTTTTACAAACTGATAGGAATAAGACATGAACTGTATATTGAATTGAACATATACAGAATATACAGTGGTAAACCTTTTGTGTACTCACATACACTTATTGGTCGTATTGCTCACTGTTACTATCTACCATGTCTTACTGAATATTTTCAAATCTAAAAATGCTGAGCATCACAAATTCCAAACATTGTAGTCTCCCCACCACACATTCCTGACCCTGTTTGAAAGATTAAGCATCTATAAATAGGAATTCCCTTACAGTTTTGTCAGTCTTACTCAAAAATTGTTTTTCGAGAAACATCACTAATCACTCTCCCTGCATGACCCTAAACAGTTTTTTAAAAACAATCACACACCTTCCAAAATATGCACCATTTCAACCTTAATCGAGCTTCTCAGCATGTAAAAGGCATTGCAGTTGCATATTATTATGTGTCCATTTTTTTTTTTATCCAGAAATTTCTCTTTTAGTGTCCATCTGACTGGAGGTCAGTGTGGGAGTTGGTATAAAGAATGTTTGTGGCCACTGAAGGCTTGACCACATTGGCCAGAGGTTGTTTATGTAGTCCCCACAGGAAATGACTCCCTGCAAATTCAGATCAGATCCACTGTGCTGCTTGCAACATAACTAATAGATTTAGGCCCAGCTGCAGGCCATTATCAGGATCAGTTGACATCTTGAAGGACCATGTTTTATATGATGATTTTTCAGTGGGAACTGAAGAAGTAGCAGAAAGATAAGATGGGAAGAAATGGAAGGTGTAGGTAAAAAGTAGGTCAGCCTGACTGAAATGTACAAAGAGTTTTCTGTTGTTACATCTTGACCATCCCACAGCCACAAAACCACAACCATTTCAGCTATCTCATACAGACTGACACTTATTTTGGTCCTATTAATGATCATAATGGCCTGTCCTTGGAAAACAATGCATGGAGCTGTTTAAAAAAGCTAGTTTTCTTCCTAAATGTAAGCAGATTCCAACACCAACATTTTGGGAGGCCAGGCGCCGTCAGTTTAATCCTAGATATATGACAAAGTCACAGGTCTCTGGCCTGTGCTCCAGGTTTATTTTGACAAAGGCTTTGTTAGAACGTATAACTATGGAGCACCAGATCCCAGACGCAAAGGTGTCGAGTATTTTCAGCCGTGTGTGAAATTCTCTTGTGGCACCATTGCAAAGACCAATGATTGTATACATGCATGTGTGTAAATAAACACAATTATACACACAACCTGATAAATGCTTGGTCTCATAATAAGGTGCTAGAATTTGTCTTATCTAAATCTAGAACTGTGGCTACCAATTTTGCAGTGACAGACTGTAGAGGTTGTACACAAACACAGTCACGCTCATCACTTAGTGTTCCCCTGCCTGGCAGGCAGACCAGAAATAGTTAACTATAAAATCAACACGTCACCTTAAAGTTTAACTGAACATTTATGGAAAGAGGTCATGCTTATGCCAAGCCTACCCAAAACAAAAGTGAACCACAATTGCAACTCAGCAAGTCTGCTTATAGTTCAGAGGGCCACACACAGACCAACACATGTCTATGGCTCTCTGGCCTCTGCAAAAGCCAACAAAGGAATGTCAAATGATCCCTTGTAATCATGAACCTCTGTGGGCAAACTAATTACAAACTGTTACCCCACATATATGATTTGGTGTGCCCTGGATTAGCCTTACTGTGTTCAGCTAATGAATTCAGCTCCAACTGTTCTATCTCGGCGTCCAGCTGAGTAAACAGTTTACATCTCTGGAATGGCATTAGCTGGATCCCGGTGAGGTGAGCCCACCCATCACACCTGCTCATTCTGTGCAGTTGACGAGGGCTTAGCAGCGAAAGTGCCGTCCACATGAGCACATCACTCGAGACGAGCACTCGCTTGGCCCTGCAGCATCAAACTGGGACTGACTAAAGATACTGCTGCGTGGCCATTGTTTGTCAGGATTAGCAGTAATGAATTTTGCGCTCAAGTGTCTTTTAAGAATAACAATAACAAGCTGTGAGTTTCACAGTTGGATCTTCATGATGTTGCGCCCGATCTTATGACAGATTGAGAACAGACTGAATTATGAGGTTTGTGTTTTTTAATTAAAAGGACAGTTAGGGTTTTAATTATGTGGAATGTATTTTTAACACTGCACACATACTTTTAAGTCTTTGTCGACTTGCATTTCTTGAACTTGTTTTTCCCAACCACTAGTCCCTCCCTGCTTCCTCCGACAAAGACTTGAATCTTGCTTGAGATTGGTTATCTAGAACAAGAAAGAATTTAAAAGCTGCCACAGCCGCAGCATTTTGGCTATTTGACTGCTTTTAGAGACACACATTATCATATATGGCTCAGCTACCAGCATGTACCCCTCTGGTTTACTCTTCCCTGTCCACTCTCTAAAAATAGTAACCATATCCTGTAGGCTGTCAACCTGAAAGCTGCCCAAGGAGCAGGTGTGAAGATGACATGACATAGCTGTATGTGTTCTCTTAAATCCAGATCCATTAGTCTCCCGAAATTCATCTCTAACCCTTTTAGCGAGGTCTCCAGCTGGCTCAGCTGTATATATCTCAGAGTCAGTTCTTTGTGTGTCTGTTCAGTATCAGACATTTTGTTGTTTTGTTGGATTCTCAGATTTTGTCAGCAGTCTTAGCGATGCTGACCACAGTTATTAACTTTTTTATAGGGGACTGTTTTAGTGGATTTAAGTCTCCTCAGATCTGACTGTTTGTTCTCTTGCGTATAGTCATAATGCAGATGTATGATTTTCAGTCTAAAACATCCTCGAAGCTGTTGTTGTCGTTCCTTATTCTTCAAAAAGTCAGAACGAAATCCACTACCCCAGTTCAAGTTTGCAGTTTGAGTATTTTTGACTCTGTTCAGAAGCATTTCTTCAGGTTGCCCTCTGGAAAAGGCTGTGACTCATGAACTTGGCGAGTCACATCACTTAAATCCCCCTAACTTGAATAGCTCTGGTCTGCTTCCTGTCTGCTGTTTGCTCCGAGAGGTCAGGACCCTCCACTGCTCCCTAGAGAACCAGCATCTCCTGGCCATCAACACAGCTTTTAATACCCGCGCCAGTGTTGAGGTGACAGCCTAGCTGTCTCCTTGGCAGATACCTCGGGGTTAGTGTATAAACAGGTTCATGTGGCTTGTTGGGTGACAGACTGAGATTGGTTTACACACAAGTGCTTTGCAGACCTTCATGGCTAGTGGCGACAGTGCTGCTGTGGGTTAAATCAGAGAAGGGGAACAGGAGTGTTTCCAGTCAAAAGTGACGATTAAAGACGTTGTCAAACTCGTACAGTTGAGGAGGAAAGTAACAAGGGAATATACATATTTTGTGGTAATTAAATAGGAATAAAAACAATCACAATTCATGGTTCATTTAGTAGCTGTTCTGGGGCTCTAAGCGAACCACATAATCGTCATCAGCAGATTAGCAGGAGTTTGCCTAGTTGAAAAGGAGATGTAGATATTCAAATTCCATGTCCATGTTGAGTTCAAAAAGTGACATGACTTGTGTTGTTTGTTAGAATGCATGCTGTTTAGTTTTCACATTATGCAAACTAGACAGTGAACACCGAGGCAAAACTCAAAGACATGAATGTTGTCATTGTGTGATAGTGAGATTATTCTTAAACTTGAACTCTTATCAACATATTCCCTCAATTTGAATAGGGAAAGAGGTGGTGCCCTCACAGCAGCGATCGAAATTAAAGGTGTACTGTTGTCCCGCAGTCAACAAAAATAACACCTGGGACACAAAGGTACAGTGTCTTGGACACTTCTGGAACAGTACAGAAATATATCATTACATTTTAATTGAGTTCAAATTCAAAAAATGTGAGGCACACACACTCTGTGCTACGTCACATGCTCACTTACACACACAAACTCATAGAGAGGTCTCTCCCTCTCCTCTTGTGCCATGTGGAGCCATGTTGACCTTCCTCTCTCTCTCTTGTCTCTGGATCTCTGGATTAGGGTGTTCCTATAGCTTATATGTATGTAGTTTATTTGAGTGAGAGTCTAGTGGTACACAAGCTGTCTCTAGTGGTACACGCAGGAATCATTTAAAACACATAACACTGTTAATATACTACAAAATATTGAATGGAAAAACTATGAGATCGCTGAAATAGAATTTCAAATAAGTTTTGCATTTCCCGTAATATTTTGTTTCATTATCAACCCTCTATAGTCACCATCATTCATGTAGCTCATACTTGATTATGTCATGATGATGCCCATGATTAGTTACGAGCTAAAATATGATAGCAAGATAGTAAGTAGAGTTAAAAATGAATGGCTAAAAAACACTGTAATGGGCAATTGTTTTTGAAGTGCAACTGTGGAAGAGTGGACCCTTTTCCACCAAATGACGTAGCTCTGGTTCTTGAACCAGTTTTGTTCCCGTTTCAACAGCAGGCAACTATAAATAATTCTCTTATTAGGAATAAACCTGCCTCCTGTGTCCATAGCTGAATAGGATCTAAAATCTTCTGAGGTGGTACATGGTGTAAAACGTTTGAGACACAGTGAAATATAGGATGTGCCTGTAGTGAGTTTGTGATTATTTGGCTACATAATAATAATGTTCAAAAAAGTTTGCATTTGCAATACAGTTTGCAGGGATGCATTTCTTGATCAAACAGCTAGAAATAAACAAGAAACTAACTCAACCAATGATTAAAATTTGGGGCTTCTTGTTATTTGCTTCAAGAGTGCAGATCTAGCTTAGAGCCAGGTGTCTATTTGAAGAGAGAGGGATCTCTTGTCTTAAGTTTCACCCTCGCCTCCCTTCCCTTAATGACCTATCACTTTTTCACTTGCCCTCCTTTAAAGCGTGCTGTCTACTCTTTGCCATCGCCATCCAACTCATGCTCTGTCTGTTTTTTGTCTTATTTCTTCTCCATCTCTCTTCTTGCTTCTCAGGTTTCATCTGGCTGCAACGCGAGGACACCTAGACTGTCTCAATCTCATCCTGGGACACAGCGTTGATATCACTGCGACTGATGCCACTGGTGAGTTCAGTAGGATGAAAGCAGTACCCTGGAGCTGTATTTATATACTTTGATGTGTTTCCAATATTTTGTCCACTCCCCCGATATATTGGTGGAGGAAGTAAGACTGTGGAGATACTAAGAAACACCTTGCAGTTATTACAGACAGTAATACAATTCAACAACAAACATTTGACTGTTTATTTAGTAAACAACCAGATAGGCACTGTTTCTCTGTAGGTGGTTTATGTCTGAATTAAAAACTCTAAAAAGTGTGTGGAAAGAGTTTGTGTATTGCTTTTGCCATGATTAAAAACACACTGTTCACCTTGGTCTCAAATACAGTATGTCATTTCTACAATATCACATTATCAATTTAAGCGGGTTACAGTACTCAGTGCCAGTTTCTAGAAAGAAGATGAGGATGTGCTAGGCAAAAAAATTAGTCTCATTAGTGGTCTGTTTCTTTTTCCCACTATACAGTGTGCAGCTCAGCAGCAAATGTGTTCATTTTCTTCATTGTGATGTAAAATAAGACGGAATAATGAGCAAGAGACATTCAGTGATACATCCCTTCTTTCAAAAGCAACCATGACAAAAGGTTCAGGCAGTGAGGACAAAATGGAAGGAACAAATTACAAATAGTCTATTGTATTTTCTTATATATTATATTATTTATATAT